GGAACGTGCCATCCACGCTCACTTCGGATCCAACTCTCCCCCTAGAGCCACTGAGTTCACACAGACTGCAGAGGGACACACCTTCACAGCTACAACAGGTCACTATTCACCTGACTCCACAGAAACAGAAATCAAAGCAAAATGAGAAGACAGAGGAGTTTGTTTCAGACAGCAGAACAAAAAACAGTGCTGAGATCACCCCTAAAGATCAGATAAATAATTTACCAGGTAAAGAAATTAAAAGCATTAATTATAAAAGTGCTTATAACTGTATTTGAGAAAAGAATCGATGGACACAGTGAGAATTTCAACAAGAAACTAGGGAAAAAAAAAAGAACCAATCAGAGCTGAAGAATACAATAACAGAAATGAAAACTACACTAGAGGACTTAAAAGAAGATGAGGTGATACACCTAGAAATAAGTGATCTAGAAGATAGAAAAAAAGGAGATCAACTAATCATAATAACAAAAAGAAACACAAATTTTAAAAAATGAGGGTGGTTTAAGGAACCTCTGAAACAGTATCAAGCATTATAATATTCACATTATAGGGTTCCCCCAAGAAGAAGAGAGAGAGGGATGGGGTGGAAAATGTATCTGGAGAAGCAAATAGATATCCAGGTATAGGAGGCATAGGTAGTCCCAAATGAGATGGACTGAAAAAGACCCACATCAAGACCTACCATAGTTAAAATGGCAAACATTAACCATAAAGAGAGAATTTTAAAGGCAGCAAGAGAAAAACAGAGCCATATACAAGGGAATCTCCATAAAGTTATCAGTTCTTCTTTCTTCAGAAACTTTGCAGGCCAGAAGGGAGTAGCATGATATACTTAAAAGCTGAAAGGGAAAAACTTGCAACCTAGGATACTCTACCCAACAAGGTTATCCTTCAGAAGTGAAGAAGAGATGAAGTACTTCTCAGACAAGAAAATATTGAGTTCATCAATTCTAAAGTGACCCTAAAAGAAGTGTTAAAGGGTCTTCTCTAAGAGGAAATCAAAAGGCTACAATAAGATGTGAGAATTTATAGGAAAGGAAAAATCCCGAAGGTGGGGCAAGTTTATAGGAAAGGCTGTGGATCAACTATAATAATTAAGCATGAAGACTAAAAGGCAAAAACTGTAAAATCAATTATAACTACAATAAACAACTAAGGGATAGACATGAAGATGTAAAACATGACATCAAAAACTCAAAATGTGGGGGAGGGAGTAAACATGTAGATCTTTTAGAATTTAAATGACTATCATTTTAGAACAAGTAGATATACTGACAGCCGATAAAAAAAGAAGATGTGGTATACAAAGACAGTGGAATATTACTCAGCTATAGAAAGAATGAAGTTTTCCCATTTGTAGCAACACAGATGGACCCATAGGATATTATGCTTAATGAACAAGTCAGCCAGAGAAAGACAAATATTGTACGTTAGAACTTATATGTAGAATCTAAAAAATAAAGCAAATGAATAAACATAACAGAAACAGACTCACAGATATAGAGAACAAACTAGTAGTTACCTGTGGGGGGAGGGTAGTGGGGAGGGACTTAATAGGAGTAGGGAATTAAGAGGCACAACTTACTATGTATAAAATAAAAAACTACAATGATACATGGTATAGCACAGGGAATATAGCCAATGTCTTATAATAACTTTAAGTGGAATATAATCTACAAAAATATTGAATCACCATGTTGTACACCTGAAAGTAATACAATATTGTAAATCAATAGTACTTTAATAAAATGAATAAAGTTACATGAAAAACTTGAGATTTGCAGAAAATAAGCATATTTGACTTGGTTTATAACATTTACAAATATTCTGTAAAGATGTAATAAAATGTTAAAATTTTGGCAGAAGTTGAATAGCACTGATGAGTTTATTTATGAAGTAACTTTTTTATGAGAAGTATCCTATTAATGTAAAACTAAAATGGAGTTATCTCCTAATGAAAGGACCTACTTACTAATCTTGGAGAAATCAGCCTATGCTTACAAAAGGTAGTAAAAGTTTATTCTTGTAATCTGTCCAGAGAGAAGAGTTTCAGCATCTCAAAAGAATAATCTTTTGTGTCTTGTCCTAACTGGGATATATACTTGCATATTTAAAATGATCAAAATAGTTCATTTCTGATTAAGATTTATTATTTATAATAAATAACTTATCCTCATCTTATTAGGTAATCAAACTGCAACATTCATTTTCTCAGGCATCCATAATCCTATATTATTAATCTCTAATTAATATTTGATTTTGCCTTTCCAAGATCAGACCCTAAATTCAGGAAAACAAATTTTTCAAAGATATCTTTCACACTTGAACTATCTCTAAGTTTTCCCAAAGGACCCTTGGGCAATGACAAAGATTTTTTTTTCTTAACTTTACAAAAAGAATGCTAGAAATATTTAGGTTTATTCACTATATCCCTTGTATAAACAGCTCAACACTATCAAAAAATGCATAGGAAGATTTGACATATCAAGTGAGAAGCTCAGCCTTCCCTCATCTAATTTTTTATAGGTAAAATATTATAAAGCTCGGTGATTGCATACCTTATGGAAAGGCTCTGGATATATATCAATATCCTCACCCTCTGTAATATGTTTTTACCATTATGTGAAACACTAATTAAATAAGATCAACATCCTATTGCATAACAGAAGATTCAAACTTTTCTTCTTCTTGATCAAGTTTGTTAAATTAACTGTAGATTAACCACAGCCACTTGCCCTTACCCTCACCCAATAGTCTGTGCTTTCCTCTCATGCTTACCTAGAGACTGCTTAAATTATAGATGAGGATGTGCCTTTAAAAAAGACAGACAGTCTCAGAGCCTCATGGATAGAACTTTACCAGATACTCTACAATATTTCAAAGAATGGACTTACGGGCAGAGGCTGACAGAAGAGCTGGCATTACATAGCCAAGTATCATATCGTACTAGCAACTAAATCAGACTTTCAGGACTTTATTTAGTCCAGAAATAGATGACTATATGAAATCAAATTAATGACTCAAGACTAGAGGAATAAGAATTAGTTACATAGAACTCATGGAACTGAAACTGAAAATCTGATCTCTAAATGTAGATATGTGTTTTGGAAAATTACTAGCATTAATCTTAATGTTCTATTTTCTGATGGGGAAAACCCTTTTACCACCCATCGTGATCTGTCTCTAACCCTCAATTCAGTTGACTCCATCAGAATTCAGGAAGTGATATTTTCTTCTGAGTCACTTTACTTTTTAATGGCAATAACATTATTTGCATATACTCAATAAGAATCTGTTTTCCGTTTCACCGGGATGTAATCAGACAAATAAGACAATGCAATAGCAGCCAAATGTAGAATGTCTTACTTAAAAATAAGCCTCATTTCTTATTACAAGCTCTTTATAAAGGAAAAAGGGTTATAACCTCATATCTGAAGTTGATACCCAAAACCTCTCCTAAGAAGTTGATCTTGAAAAAAAAAAAAAAAAAGAAGTTGATCTTGGACCTGTTCGTGGCTTACAGGACACCAACCTTATAGACAGTAAGAAAGGTCACTGGGTTGCCAGGAACCTTAGCAGATTCAGGAGAACTAGAGGAAACAGAACTTTACCAACACTTAACCTGCTAGAGATGAAACCTGCTGGCAATGAACTTCAGGTTTGGTTTCTTTTCCTTAGAACAGAAGAGTAAATAAAAGCATTTATGGAAGACCTCTGGAGAGATGAAGCCACTGAAATGTTCACTTAGATACCTTAATAAATTATCAGATAGATTCTCTGGTTTTATCAATGAGAGTTGTTCAGTACAGTATAGTGCTAAGTTTGCTATTCACACACAAGAAAGTCTTTATGTGCTAATTACAACCTTTTCTAATTTATGTCAATGAATCAAGCCCAAATATAATGCCTTTTTGTGATCATGAAAAATATGTGGAGATTATGTATGGTAACAAAGAAGCTGCTATCCCCACCCACAGGACATCAAGTTCTCTGGGGCATACACATTTGTCTTCATTCACTAGTATATGGATCAGGACACTTGGAAACTCTGTAAGGATAGGCAATAACTTACCAAGAGCTGCAACTGATGCAGATAATTACTTTTCCAAAATTTCAAGAAAATTCTGCCCTATATAGATGTAAATAGTTTCTGCTCATTATAATCTAAAAGTTACAATTTCACTGTCCAGCAGGGCATTAACTAGCTTTGTATGGGATTCAGAAATCTTATCCAGCATACTTACTTTTAGTAACTAAAATACTTAGATATTCCTATACTTCAGAATATCAGCTCTACCATCCTACTGCTTCCCACATTAAGGAAGTCATTAATCATTAATGAATCAAAATAATCTGACAGGTATTCACTATTTTTATAGTAATCATAAATCCATAGAAAAAGGCAAGTCAGTAACTTTGGGGGACATGTGAAGTTTGCAGTCATTATACGTATTAAGACACGGCTGGAGTATGATGTGTGGTGTGTGTGTGTGTATGTGTGTGTACACAGTGCAGAAAAAAGGTTGAGCACCACTGGGGCAACCTTTCAACTTCTCAGACAACTTGCTATACAGAAAAACTTACTACCTAATTCCGAGTTGTCATTTCACTGACTATTAACATCACAGCATATACATTCAAATGTGATGACATAAATAATACATGTCAGTTTTTCCTCATAGTCTTAAAAGTCCGTAAGACTTTTTAAAGACATTCAGTAAAATTCACAACTACCTTTGTTAGATTTATCAAGAATTTATACTTGTGAGGCCTCTGCAGAGCAATTTAATATAGCATTAGGCACATGCAGGCCTTCAAAACAGCCCTAAGGGACGAACAATAGTGATTTGGGAAGAGCAAGGTTAGCAGGAGGCAATCTAGGAAGGGACACCAGGAGCCGGCGCGCAGGGAAACCCCGCACTCCCACGTGTATCCTTGGAGCTTGCCTCCAAGAAGCCGCTCAGTGAAAGCGAGGCCAAGCCAGACGAAGAGATTACCAATCGCTCCATCTCCTGCTCCCTGAGCCTCTCCTCCCTCTGCCGCCGGTGATAGTCCATCAGGTCGTCTCGTCCGGAAATGGAGCTGATGCTGCTTTTCCGTTCCCGAAGGACAGGCTGGGGGGTGCCCGAGGCCTGTCTGAGGCTGTCCAAGTCGGCATCATCAAACTCGACAGACCCACACGAGAAGTTCCTTCTGGCCGCAAGTGCTCGGTCCAGCTCCCCAGGAGGACGCGAGTGACCGGGGCTGGTACCCGCGTAGGGAGCCCTGTCAAGGTCGTCAGAGGTGCAGGAGGAGGTGGAGGCCAGAAGCATCTTGCGAGCCACTCGAGGGCTGGCAGGCACGCTGAGGGTGGAACTCACGTAGGGACCGCCCTCGGGGGCAGGGGTTTTGTAGGGCAAAGCTCCTGAGCTCAGAGAAGAAAAATGCAGGTAATTGTCGTTGTCTACGACGCTGTGAGGTAGATCCTTTTCCCCCGGGCCCGTCCGTTTGGAACCGCCCAGGGCGCCCCTGGGAGGCAGACTGAGAGGGGCCAGCTGGCTCTCGGCGGCCCTGTGCAGCCTGGGGAGGGAGCGGCTGCAGGCGCCCATGTGGCTCAGGCTGCCGCCGGAGTACTTCCTGGTTCTCAGGCTGATGCTTTCAGGCTCCCGGGGTCTGCCCGGCCTGAGCTGGAGAGTCAGGCTGTCCTGAATGCTTATTTTCCTGGCTTGCTTTGGGCTTGAAGGCATGCTGGCCGCCCCGGACCCGCTGACGGGCGAGGGGCCGGTGTCACCCAGGGAACTCCCGCCCCACACGGTCAGGAGCGAGCCAGAGGCTTTCCGGCCTTCCCACCCTCCCAGAAAGCAGACACTGTCATGGGATTTATTCCTTGAGCTGTGTTTGGAATAGGGAGGCTTCTCTGAAAGCCTCAAGGACCTTTCCACGTCCCGGCCGAGAAAAGGATCAAAGTCCGCTCTCCCAAGTGCACATCCACTAAGGGAGGCTGGAGCGCTGTGTAAAGGGGCGGGCGGTTTCATGGGAAGACCTCTGTCACTGCCATCGCAAGAGGACTGCTTAGCTCCCTGGACTTTGGCCAGAGAAGGGCTACTTCTGGCGCTGCTTCCCATGGGAGAAGCGCTTCTTTTGGCAGGCACAGGTTGTGAGAGGGTTAAATAGGAGCCAGAACAGTCTCCGCTGGCTTTAAATCTCAGACTGGAAGAGTATTTCTTTGGGCTCAGGCTCTCCATCATGTTTTGGGAATCGTTTTCGAGGGAATTCTCCACAAAGCCTGCCTCTAAGCTACCATTCTGTAACTCCAGCTGCTCTTGCATGTGGCTCTGCTCTGCCATAATCTTGTTGGAATCTGCAAAGAAAAAAAAGAGAGAGAGAGAGAGAGACAGCTTTACTTAACAAAGATTTTAAAACACCAACCACTTGTTAGCTTAAATAGGTACACAAATAGGCTGGCAATCCGATATGGTGCTGTTTTAGTAATAAACCTACTAAAGCTGTCCTGCAAAATGAAGATGACTAAAGACCACTGATCTGGGATGTTTTCTGAACAAAAGAAAAATAATTCAAGAGAACATCAGTGATATTTGAGAGGAACAAATCCCTAACACCAATTGCGGGTACAAGAAAAGGGGGTGGTACCTAAAAAAGACAATGACCCTTTAGCGTTCTATTCCCTGGAGGACCACCTGCTTCCTGAGTACCTAGCAAACACCTGACGGGATGAGGCAATGGGCTTTCCTTTAGATGACTCTGTAAGACACATTAACCACTCAGAAGTTCTAAGGAAACTAAATTCACATTCTAGCAGAGAAAGAAAATTTTATGATCAATAACATGAGGGTTAGAAGATGATTCTTTAAAAGAGGACTATGAGAGTTACCTTCTCAACAAAAAGACTTAAAAAACTTCCTGCATCCATCAGAAAAAGCTCAGTCAGTCAGTTCAGTCGCTCAGTCGTGTCCGACTCCTTGTGACCCCATGAATCGCAGCACGCCAGGCCTCCCTATCCACCACCAACTCCCAGAGTTTACTCAAACTCATGTCCATCGAGTCAGTGATGCCATCCAACCATCTCATCCTCTGTCGTCCCCTTCTCCTCCTGCCCCCAATCCCTCCTAGTATCAGGGTCTTTTCCAATGAGTCAATTCTTCGCATGAGGTGGCCAAAGTACTGGAGTTTCAGCTTCACCATCAGCCCTTCCAATGAACACCCAGGACTTATCTCCTCTAGAATGGACTGGTTGGATCTCCTTGCAGTCCACGGGACTCTCAAGAGTCTTCCCCAACACCACAGTTCAAAAGCATCAATTCTTCGGTGCTCAGCTTTCTTCACAGTCCAACTCTCACATCCATACATGACCACTGGAAAAACCATAACCTTGACTAGATGGACCTTTGTTGGCAAAGAAATATCTCTGCTTTTTAATATGCTGTCTAGGTTGGTCATCACTTTCCTTCCAAGGAGTAAGCGTCTTTTAATTTCATGGCTGCAATCACCATCTGCAGTGATTTTGGAGCCCCAAAAAATAAAGTCTGACACTGCTTCCACTGTTTCCCCATCTATTTCCCATGAAGTGATGGGACCAGATGCCATGATCTTAGTTTTCTGAATGTTGAGCTTTAAGCCAACTTTTTGACTCTCCTCTTTCACTTTCATCAAGAGGCTTTTTAGTTCCGCTTTACTTTCTGCCATAAGGGTGGTGTCATCTGCATATCTGAGGTTATTGATACTTCTCCTGGCAATCTTGATTCCAGCTTGTACTTCCTCCAGCCCAGCATTTCTCATGATGTACTCTGCATATAAGTTAAATAAGCAGGGTGACAATATACAGCCTTGATGCACTCCTTTTCCTATTTGGAACCAGTCTGTTGTTCCATGTCCAGTTCTAACTGTTGCTTCCTGACCTGCATATAGGTTTCTCAAAAAAGGTAGGTATTAACAATAGTAGAGGGAAGAGTGGTCCCCACATTCCTCACATATCAGTGTCAGGTAGAATATCTAGAAACCTGAAACTGATATATCCTTCAAGTTCCCAGGCATCCCAGAGGCATCACGATCATCCTTGATCTAACTCTCTCCTCTCATGGATGCACCTTTCTCCTTCTTTTACACCCATCTGAACCCACACATCCTTTGAGGTTCAGATTAATATTCTAGTTTCCACAGTGAACGAAAGAGTTTTTTATGGATGCACCTGTAAGAATATGTTTTGGACTCTAGTTTAAACAATATTAACTTAAGAAACTAAAGTTATAGTCTATGAAAATGTCTTTTCATTATAAACTAACCCTGCCAACGTGAAAGGTTATATTTTAAACTGATCAAAATACTTTAAGTTATCATCAAAGTGAAAATGCAGTTTAAACATTCCCATTGAACTCAGGCACTGCTAAGACTGTCCTCCAACTTCTTAGGCACCTCAGAGACCAGTTACTACATCTCTGTAATATGTGATATGTAAACAGAATCACGTTTGGTTAGCAATAAATACCATAATGTGCTTGCTCCTGTGACCCACACATAAGTTTAAGGAAAAGGATCATGTACAGTATTTCTATCACATCTCCAGCCCCTCCTGACACCCACTGTCCCACAGGTGAGACACTCAGTGAACACAAGTTTTCAATTATCCATCACAGCCTTCCCCACTCCCTCCCAGCCTCAGATGAAGGATCTTCATCTTGCTTCTCAGCCTCACAGATTTCCTGGGCAAATGCAGGCCTAATAAGGAACTGCCTGTCACCCAGGCCAAGAAATAGTCTGGCTGCTTAAATCCTAGTGATGGGCTGAGTGCTCACACCCTCAAAGCTGCAGCTTCCCCCCGACAAGCTCTGCCTTGGGGTCCTTATCTTCCAACCCAAAGCCCTGCCATTATGAAAAAAACCATGATTATCTTTTGAACTGGACCTCAAAAAAATTTTTTTAAGATTCTCCTTTAGAACTGCTTCCCAGCTGGGGTCTGACCCTGCCCTCTGGGTCTTGACAGGTCACAAATGTCCCTCTCAACAACTGTCTACCACCACCAATTCTGACCTTGAAAGCAACACCAGTCTGGCTCAAGTTCTATCTCACCATGTCCCCCTTGGAGGACTGAAATCATGACCTCTATCCAGTCTGGGTTTCTTCTATTTCTGACTAACTGTATCACATGTTGAAATTCCAGCAAACCATGGCCAATTCCCTCACATCAATTTTTTTTGAATTGAGGAAACAAGGAAGTAGGTGGAACCTGAGAACATTACCATGCTACTTATTAAAAGGGAAAAAATACTCTAATTTCCCAACAATAGGGAGAAAATTAAAAGCCATAGTATGTCATGAGTGTATATTAAACCACTTAGAATCTTATTTTGAGGTATGTTTATAACATAAAAAGTACATTAATATAATGTTCAGTAAATTTTAAAATCCATACAATGAGTGCAGCCTTATGTACACACCCGCCTATACATATGAATCACACACAGATGTTTAAGCCAGAATCTAAGGAGTCATCACTGGTCTCCCCTATCATTATATCCTCTATCCTCTACCATCTGTCACTTCTTCATTCCCTCCATTTTATCCATTTTATTTTATCTCATTTTATCCATCAACAAATCCTATCAACACTGTCCTTAAAACATTGTCTGAACCTGATCATCTCTTGCTATTTCCATTGCTGCCCCCTGATTACAGGCCAGGATCTTCTCTTTCCTCTTCCATATGCTATATGCTCATTTTGCGGCAATAACAGTAGAATGAAATAAATCACACTAGTGAGTTTAATTCATCTTTCTCAAACTAGTTTGTATTTTCCACAAATTATACCATGTGTTTGGGTTGCCTTGACAATGAATGAAAAAATTAGTGTAAAATACTAACATATAATCTGAAGCAATACTTCACTTTTAAGTTGAGTAGATGTTCATTTTTCCTAAGCTCTTGTCCAATTTTTGAGCCAGACACTAATTCTTCCAAAAAAAAAAAAAAAGGTTAAAGAACTTGATCAGACTAACTTAATATGTCAGTTGAAGCCTTCGATGTTTTCTTCCAAATCTTCTAAAAGATTCGGGGGAAAATCATAATTATACAAATCTGGTGGCTCAAACAGTAAAGAATCTATCTGCAATGCAGGAGACCCGGGTTTGATTCCCGGATCGGGAAGATCCCCTGTAGAAGGGATTGGCTACCCATTCCACTATTCTTGCCTGGAGAAGTCCATGGACAGAGGAGCCTGGCAGGCTATAGTCCATGGGGCCACAAAAAGTCAGACACGACTGAGCGACTAACACTTTCACTTTACTGTGACCATTTCATACTTTATACATCTCAAAGTGCAAAATCAAACGTAACTAATATGTATCCCTAATCACTTCCCTAATATGAATAAATGAACAGAGGGTTACCAAAAAGGTCTCCAGATGTTTGCTGAATATAGCTTAGATAATAATATTAGTATGCTCATTTTTTTATTGTAGTTATTAGATTATTTCATTACTTGAGGTGATTCTGCTCACGGTATAGAAAAAATTAAAATCCTAACAGGTAGTGTTAGGTACTTCATTCATTAACTGTGTATTAAGTGCCTACCACATCTCAGACACTGGCTTAACAGGCACTGGTATTGCTCACTATTATTCCTGTTCTTTCCTTTCAGAAACACAGCAGTGTTGTTCTTCCTCATCCTTATGACATTAGGTGTGGCTATATCCCTTGCTTTGACCAATGAAATATGAGAGAAAGTGATGTGTCAGTTCCAAGCTGAAACATCAAGAGCTGGCATGATTTACCATTTCCATACCCTTCTTGCGTCCAAGTCTGTAAAGGCTTCCTTATTCTAGCTCCCTCAGTGAGGATAATCAGGAACAGGGCCTTTGCCAATCCAAGATTGTCTTAAGCCACTGAGATTTGAGAGTTGTTTGTTACTATGAAGGTGCTAATCTTCATTAAGTGCCTACTATAAACCAGGGTTTGAGCTAGGCCCTGGAAAGTATGTGGTCAAAGATAGTATTTCCTGCTAATACATAGTTTACAATCCAAAGTGGAAAATATACGTATGAATAAATGCTATACAATGTGACGCATGCCTTAACGGAGGACTGATTGACAGGTTGGTAAAGGCCTGATTGACAGATGGAGGGGGTTAACCCAGTGAGGGGGTGGTCTGGGTAAGTTATGACAGGAAGAGATGACGATGGAGTTAAATCCCACTGAAAGAAAGAGAATCCGATGGGTATTACCCAATGATAGCATAAAGTTACCTCCACACCTAAAACTTTGAGGTTTTAAAAATATAAACAAAATCTGAAGCCCATCTGAGGTCAGACTATGGGTACGTCCAGCAAACATTCTGTCTCTGACAGAATT